TCTACATCATGACAGGTCTCACAATGTACCATGCTTCTGTTATTTTCGGGATTGCAGTAACAGGTCTCACTAAATAGATATCTGTTGAAATGAATTAAAACAAATGGGATTCAGGCCAAAAAAAGAAAAAAGTTGTCCAACATGACAGGTAGCCGTTAGCAGCTCATGGTTTTGTCATTTTGAATTCTAGGTATGGAAAAACAATTTATTCAATAATTGGGGAGGGGGGAATCTTTTTGAGAAGGGGTTTCCCTGTAGCCCCAGCTGGCCTAGAACTCTCTACATAGACCAGGCTGGTCTTGAACTCACAGAGATCCACATGCCTTGCCTCGCAAGGGCTAGGATTAAAGACGTGTGCCACCATGCCCAGCTCAACAATTTACATTAAGATCTAATCAAATATTCCTAGTTTGTAGAATCAAGTTTTTAAAAAATATTCTAGTAAACTGCGTGTAAAATAAAACTTACTATTTTAAGTGTTAAGATATTCACAATGTTGTGTAACCATAACAATCTATGTCCACCCTGACCCCTAGTAACTATTGCTCTACTGTTTGCCAGTGAATTATCTTATGTTATAATGTGTGTTGAGGAATGTACCCAGGGCACTGCACATACCAAATAGGCATTCTACACTGATCTATACCCCCAAGCTTATGAAGGAGAATTCTCATAGGACAATACAATAGTTCTATGATGTGTCTGGTTTTTGAAAGTTTACAGAAGGTCTTTAAGACAAATTCATAAAGCATCCATGAAAATTCCTTTTCCTTGAGTTGAACAATATTCCACTCTATGTACAAATGAAGTTTTAAAAAATATTATATTATTTTTATTTTCTGTATATGGGTGTGTTAGGCTGCATGTATGTGAGTGCACTCATGGTGTGCAACGACCACAGGGACCAGAGGAGGGTATCAGCTTCCCTAGAACTGGAGTTACAGACAGTTGTTAGCCACCGTGTGGGTCCGGGAATCAAACCCAGGTCTTCTGCAAGAGCAGCCAGTGCTCTTAACCACTGAGTCATCTCTTCAGCCCCACATATGAATGTTAGGTTCATTAAAACTTTGCTTTGACCCTGCTTCTGGCTGTCAACACAGATGCTGCTGTAAACACTGGAATGCAAACACCCAAGTTCCCACTTCCTGTTTTGGTATAGACATACAAAGTGGAATTGCTGGGTCATATAATAATTCTCTGTTCAATTTTTGGCAAGGCACCAAATTATTTTCTATAGCAGCGGCACTACTTTACATTCCTGCCAGCAACACACAACGGTTCCAACTTTTTCATCACCCTAATAAAGTTGCATATAATTTTTGTTTCATTTGTGTTTCTCTAATGATGACACATGTGGAATATATTTTCATGTGTTTATTGGTCATTTGTATAGTTTCTTTGAAGAAATGTTTACTTAAGTCCTTTGACCTTTGTGTACATATGTTTTTTAACTTAAAAATATTTTATTTATTATTTTTATTCTATGTATATGAGTGTTTTTCCCTGCATGTAAGTAAGTGCACCACAAGTATGCAATACCCACAGGGGCCAGAAGAGGGTGTCAGATTCCCTGGAACTGGAGTTATGGATAGTGGTTGCCATGTGTGTGCTAGGAATCAAACCCGGGCCCTCTGGAAGAACAGCAAGTGTTCTTAACTGCTGAACCATCTCTCCACCCCCTGCTTTTTTGTATTCTGACAGGGTCTCCTATAGCCCCAGTTGGCCTGGAACTCACTATGTAGAACATGCTGGCCTTGATCTCACAGAGATCTACCTGCCTCTGCTTCCTAAGTGCTTGGATTAAAGATACGCACTACCATGCCCGGCACATGTCTTTTTAAGATAGAGTCTCCCTGTACGTAGCCCAGGCTGGCCTTAACTTGTGATCCTCCTGCCTCAGCTTCCAGAGTGATGAGATTATAGACATATATTACCATGCCAAGCTTCTTTGACCATTTTTCAGTTTGCTTGCTGGTTTTCTTGTCATTGATTTACATACTTGGACATTAAACTCCTCATGAGAAGTGATTTATGAATATTGTCTCTCATTGTATGGATGTCTATCCCTGGCCACAGAAGTAGTGAATTTCTAATTTCAGTTAATCTTTTATTTTCTGACTGTTGTTGTGCTTTATACACATTAGGTTTTTTCTTTTTAAAAGCAAAGACTACTTTGATATCATCGACATTTTCTATAAATGTAAATAATTCTGGGACTATTCTTTCCTGTTCTAAGTTTTGCCAAACTTGAGCATCAATCACTGATTGATGTCTTTAGACCTCTAACAATTTACATTTATTGATTGACTGACTGACTGAGTGATTGATAGACGGTGTGCATGCCACAGTGCATGTGTGGAGGTCAGAAGACAACTTTTGGGAGATGGTTCTCTCCTCTCCAACTCAGGCCGTCAGGCAAATGTCTTTACCTACAGAGTCATCTCGTCAGTCCTTTTTCTTTCTTTCTTTTTTTTTACATGTATTTACAAATATATGCTTTTATTAAAGAGAATTTTGTGCACTCTGCAATTTTCTTAGAGGAACATCCTCATTCTCTTCCTAATTAAGGTCTCTTATGACTACAAATCTCACTTTTTGATGGCATTCAATTCTCTCAAACAACTTTCACAGTCTCATTCTTTGGAATTCTATTTATCCTTCAAAAACATCTTAGGATTTTGTCTTATTAGAGACTACAGCACATACTTATGGGCTGTGAATCCAATTCTTCCTGACAATAAGGGTGAATGCCAATTTCCCCTGTCATTCTCAGAATCCTATACTGATGACTAGTTCTTTTATGTTATTTAAACATGTGTTATTTAAAGTAGCACGTCTCCTATTTACTTCCTTGACCTTTTAGGAAATGAATAACATACAAAGGAAAATCTAATCAGGTAGATTTTAGTCATGTGACTTTTACCATTTCTTGTCCCTCTGTCAAGAGTTCTTGTCTGGTTGTCAAATAGTCCACACAAACTCTTTTCTTTGAATGTTTGGTCCCATACATGGAGTTGTTTTGGGAAGCTACAGAGCCTTTAGGAGGAAAGGCCAAGCTGGAGGAGCTGGGCCTTGAGGTTTTTAACCTCGTCCAACTTCCTGTTCTGTCTGCTTCTTGATCTCTTGTGATGTGAGGACTCCTAGCCAAGAGTCCCATTGCAAGGAACTCTCCGCCATGTCCTCACGGCCCATGATGGACTTCATTCAAAGTGAGCTAAAATTCATCTTTCTTCTCTTAAGTTGCTTCTTGTCAAGTATTTGGTAGCAGCATGAGAAAAATAAGTAATCCTGCCACTTTATAAAGAACGCTGCATTTCCTTGTAATAGTTACTGTCTCTGCAGACACTCATACATCATGATATTCCTTCTACATAGAAGTCCTTTAATCTTCACACAGGTAATCTCACAAATAACTTCCAGGTCAGTTTTTATGTTTTGCTGGGAAAAATGCAAAATTACCTTACTGATATATGAAATCAATTAATATATTCAAGCAATATTAAGACCACAGAATTAAAATCAGAACAAGTTTTCAGGATGACTAATACAGCACTTCAGTTAACACATAAAACTCCCCACATTGACAAAAGTTCATTAATATGGCCAAGATCACAAGAAGACATGTTCAAGGCCACTTTTATTTTTAAGTGTATGTATGTGTATGTGTCTGTGCATGTTTGTGTGGGTAGTCACTGAGGTTAGAAGTGTTGGATCCTTCTGGAGCTGGAATTACAGGCAGTTGTGAGCTGCCCGGTGTAGGTGGTGGCAAAAGAACTCCAGTCCTCTGCAAGATCAATATGCTCTCTTAATTGAGCCATCTCTGCAAGATCAATATGCTCTCTTAAATGAGCCATCTTTTTAGCCTACAATCTTTTCTTATTTTTAAAATTTTAGACAGGGTCTTACTATGCAGCCCTGGTGGGCCTAGAACTCCCTATGAGGACCAGGCCTGCCTCTGCCTCCCTAGTGATTGGTCTAATGGTGTGCCTTACCATGCCTGGCTCTCATTTTATTTCATAGATTTTTAAAATTTACATTTTAAACATTAAACTATAAATACTGAATAGGCAAACCATTTTCTTTGATTTATAATGAGAGAAAATACATTCTTGACAAAAAAGAAAAAGCTCTGATACTTCAAATGAAATTCTATTACATCACCTTCAATTATAACAAACAAATATTGGCAGAAATGAGCTCATTAATAAAGAAATTGAGCTGGAGAGATGGCTCAGCTATTAAGAGCACTGGCTGTTCTTGCAGAGGACCCAGGTTCAGTTTCCAGCACCTACATGGAGGATAACAACCATTTGTAACTCCAGTTCCAGTGGATCTAATGCCCCCTTCTGGCATCTATGGGCATTGGATGATATATGCACACTTACATACATGCAGGCAATACACTCATCCTCACAAAATAAAAATAAACATAAAAAATAAATAGAATACAGGCTATAGTATGAATACAGTCACTTGTAATTAATTTGATATGGTTATATGGATAGGTAAGATATGCATTTGTAAAAAATCAGGAATGTATAGTAAAAAGGTGAATTTCAGTATATGTAAATAAATCCCAATAATTAAAACTTTAAAAAAATTATTTTTCTAAGAAGCTACTCTGTAGGGCACACAGAAAATGAGGTAGAAAAATTCATACTGAAGGAATTTTGACATGAAGGAATTTGACTTTTGACAATTATTAAAGATACTGACCCCAAAACTTAGGGTTTGGGCTGGAGATATGGCAGAAGACCCAGCTTTGAATCCCAGCACCCACATGGCAGCTAACAACTGTCAGTAACTCCAGTTCCAGGGGATCCGACGACCTCGTCTGTCCTCCATGGGCACTGTACAACATGGGTGCTCTTACCTACATGCAGACAACACACTCATACACATAAAATAAAAATAATATTTTAAAAAAGTACGGCTTTATTTATTCATTCCCAAACACATATAGTCCAGAAACAAACTCTTTTTTTTTTTAGGGAACTCACCGTCTCATTTCCAAAAAGGATGTCAACATAAGGCATAACTTTCATCAAGGACTCCTTGAAGAACTGGCTAATAAACGGTGCAGACAGATTCAAAGTGAAGATCCTGTTGTTTTCAGAAGCATATTGAGCCACTTTTAATACTGATTCTGGGGACACTGTAAGAAAAAAGCCCTGGACAAAGAAAAGAAAAATGGAAAATCAGAAACGTCATCTCCAGAGACTCATTTTCAGTGAGAATAACAGAATACCAACACTTATACAAAATACAATTATGACCAAGGGAGAAAATGGCTGTATTTAACTGGAAAAGTTTATTGTAAGTCTTACAAACCTTGAAACATGCCATTACTTCAGAAACTAAAACACCATTTATTTCATATTAGATTTTATATATGCTCATTAGCATAAAATTCTGGGAATGTTCAAAAGAGGAAAATACTCAAAAGGTTTCAATCAAGAAAATAATTCCATTTAAATGAGAGAAATAGTAACAAAGGCAGACTGAATCCTTCTAGCTTCTTGTAAACAGTATTCTTTGTAGTCATTTGAAACTAATCCATTTATCAAAATCAAAGCTTGTTTATTATGTTCAGAAACATCTTAACTGACATTACTTCATTATATTTTTGTATTCTTGAGCAGGTGTTCTCTGTTAACCCAGTCTGGCTAAAGAGTGCTAGGAGTCCTGGCATTATGAATGTGCACCACAGTGCCTGGGATTATGAGTGTGCACCACAGTACCACCATTATGAATGTGCGCCACAGTGCGGGGATTAACAGCATTTCTGATAACGATTTTGAATTAGAATTTTCAAATAATGAGAATATAATTCAGGGCTGCCATAGAAAATTTTTTCAATAATTTTAAGTAAGAAAAGCTATAGTCTGAGCTAGGTGTGGTGGCACCTGCCTTTAATCCCAGCACTTGGGAGGCAGAGACAGGAGGTTCTCTGTGAGTTCAAGGCCAACCTGGTCTACATAGCGAGTTTCAGGCCATCTGCGGATACAGGAAAACCCTGTCTCAAAAAGACCAAAAAAAAAAAAAAAAAAAAAAAAAAAAAAAAAAAAGAAAATCTATAGTCTAAAATGCTGTTTACTAAATATGTGATGTTAATAAAATCTTATTGAAAAATGAATTAATGCTTTCTAGATGAAAATATAGGCAACACTATGGATAGATAAGAAAGAAACTGGTTTGGAAGGTGTAGAAGTGAGGAAAGGAAAAGATAAAGTACAGTGATAGAAGATGAAGTTGGAAAGGCAGAGTGAGTGAGCACAAAGGGCCTTGAGTTGTGCATCTCGAGTACATTTGATAAGCAACATGGGAGTGGAGGGCAGACGGATCATGGGTAATGAATGTTCTCAAGGGATGAGTATAAAATTTTTTAAAAAATATTTTATTGCTGGGCGTGGTGGCGCATACCTTTAATCCCAGCACTCAGGAGGCAGAGGCAGGAGAATCTCTGTGAGTTCAAGGCCAGCCTGATCTACATAGTGAGTTCCAGGACAGCTGGGGCTACAGGGAGACCCTGTCTCAAAAAGACCAAAAAAAAAATTATTTTTATATTAGAAGTTTATTGCCTGCATGTATGTAAGTGCACCTGCGTTATGCAATGCTTGAGGAGGTCAGAAGAAGGTGTTGGATTCCCTGGAACTGGAGTTATGGTTGTTAGCCACTATGTGGGTACCTGGGAACTGATCCCACTACTCTTAACTGCTGAGCCAATTCTCCAGCCCAAAGTACAGAAAACTTTAAGGAAATGTAATCTGGATAGCAATAACTTAGTAACAACTAATAAAGTTCTGCATTTGGCTATGTAAAAGGAAACCACAGTGGGAGTTCTGCTTACGGGACTTAGAGACTTTAAGATACAGATGGCAAATAATAGAATTCACAGATGATTTTATCATGTTTTTAAAAAATCTGGTCTTACCATTAATAGAAATAGAAGAATCATCTGAATAAGCTCTGGCTTACATGTGTGATGATGGGTGTTAATGTCAACTTGCAACAAAGCAGAATTCTGAGGCTCACTGCCACAACTGATGTGGTAAGTCTCATCCTAAATGTGGGCAGCACCTTCTGGTATCAGCCCAGATTAAAAAGGGGTGTGGCAGAAGGAGGACTCTTCCCATTTGCTTGTTTGGCCTGCCCTCTCACTGCTAGGCTGGTTTGTCTTGCTACTGCTGACTACCTTGCTGATCTTTGAATGAGTGTTTCCAGGCGTCCATCATTGACTAAGGACCCTTCAGGTTTTTGGTCCCATATTGGGAGTGCTGAGGCATGCAGCCCAGTGGCCTGAGCAATTATTGGGTTCTTGGCTTCTCCAGTGTGAGACAGCCATGGTGGGACTGCTCTGCTTGCTGAGGCACCCACCCAGCTTCCAGGACAGGCAACCACTAGGTTCTCAGCATCTTCCATGTTATTCTTCTGTTCTTAGGATTCTGAACTAAGATGACTAATGAATCCTTTTTTTTATATATATGTGCTAATGGAACCTAAAATTTTATATAAAAAAGTTTGATGTACACAAGAGTACAGAACAAGGTTGTAGTTCTAATGATCAGGAAAGGGAATGTGGACCAACAGGAGAACAAAGGGTGGAATGACAAACAAAGAAAAGCAGAGGACAAAGGAAAGAAAAGCGGCAAAGGAGAGAAAAAGAAGGCAAACAGCAGGCATGATGGCATGCACCTTTAATCCTAGCACTCAGAAGGCTGAGGCAGGTGAGTCTTTGTGAGTTCCGGGCCAGCCTGGTCTACACAGTGAGGAGAGAAATCACAGACACGCCAACAGGGAATTTCCAGAAGGTGCTTCATGTGCAGGCTTAGAGAGAAGCAGAGAAGGAAGGACTGAGCAGACACAAGATCTGCTGAGTAGGCAACAGCACTCAGTGTGAGGGTAAACTAGACAGGACTTAAAGGCATGGTGATTCTGTGGTGACAGAAGGGCAAAAGAAATAAAGGCATGGTGAGGGAATGAGGCTCAGGAGTGAGAATCAAGCCGGGAGATTAATCAATGGATGACTATATATAAAACCATCTGAAATTTACTCATTAACTCTCCTGTACTAGGCACTGTACTAAAACTTTATAACTTACTGTTTTATTTCCTTATAGGAAACCTATGGAGTGGATACTGTTACTGGTCTCATTTTATAAGTAGTCCTGAAATTAAAATACAGAAATTGAGAAATGTCTCACAGGTTATGTAGCTTTCACATGATGAGTCTGGATTCAACTGACTCCCACTATCATGCCCCTGCTGTTTGCAGAGATAATAGAGAAAAGGGACAGAGGTTTTCTTTTGCTGAAGAAGCAGGAATGAGAGGACAGCTCTTTTTTAGAGCTTTCTTTGTCTGAGGCAGGGTCTAGCTATGCAGCTTAGGCTGGCACTAAATTCTTTAGTCTCCTGTCTGCCCCTCCCAAAGGCTGAATAACAGGCGTGAGAATGATACCTAGTTTCAGAGGACAGTTCTTAAGGATAGTCGAAGTCTGAACATTGCTGCTTGTCAAAGAAAAGAATCAACTGCAGAAACAGAAGAATAAAGAAATAAGGGAGAAAAATGAGAGCAAGGAACCAGAGGAAGTGGGTAATTTTAAAGGGGAAGAAGAGGAAGTGCCATGAAAATACACAAGGAATGCCTTTTTAAAAATTATTTATTTAATAACCATGTAACTAGAAGAAGCATTTCATTATAACAGCATTGACATATTCAATAACAATTTCCAGAGCTAAGATGCATCTCTTTCAAAATTGGCTGTAAATTTTTAGGTTTACAATTGAATTAATACAGTTATACAATGTTGTACTCCGTATAAACCCTGTAAGACTTAAAATTAAATGAGGTTTTAAACTTTAAAAGAGATCTCCATTTCATTACTAAAATACACAGTTTCATACAGAAAAATTCATTTTTAATACAATTGACACTAAGATGCACATGCATTTCTAATCTCTATGTTTTTGAAGGATGGTTTACTGCCTTCATACACGCTAAGATAGTAAGAGATTTTTAAACTGTAATGGTTTGGGGTTCAGAAAATGATATGTCAAAATAAGATACTTTGGAACAAGAGAAAACTAGGGAAGATACTTCTGTAGGAGAGCTACCATAGAGGAATTACCTAACCCACTTCACCTGAAAGTAGGTCATGAGACACTCATTCCAGATGGTCCTGTCCCATTCCCGGAGGATAAGAAGAATCTGAACAAGTGAGGCCGGCTGGGTGCTATTCCCTCACCTGTAGTTTATCACTGTAAGATAACAGACCTTACCCTTTCTGTCCAAGCATGATTTGCTCAAAATTTATTTCTTCATACTTAGCATAAAATGTAGTTTTCTCTAGGTCTATGAGACTTCTGAACACTCCTATGTCACATCAAAATTAATCTGTTGTTCTCTTGTTTTGTGTTGTGATAGACATGACCCTTGCAATAGGTGAAAAGGTATACTTTTCTTCCTCTGTAACTGCCTCAATTACATTAAAGTACTGCAAATGAAATGCTAATGTTTCATAACCTAGTGACATCATGTTTTCTCATTTGAAAATTCCAAACCACTAATTCCTAACTACTCTTCAACTGTTCTAAAAAACCAAAACTAAAACTTGCTACCTTTAAGAGATTTTATTTATTTAGGGGCTAGAGAGATGGCTCAGCAGTTAAAAATACTGGTAGTTCTTACAGAAGACTTGGGTTCAAATCCCAGCAACCACACGGCAGCTAACAACTGTCCATAACTCCAGTTCCAGAGGATCTGACAGCCTCTTCTGTCCTCCGCGGGCATTGCATGACATGGGTGCCCTTACCTACATGGAGGCAATACACACATACACATAAAATAAGTATTTTTTTTAAAAGATGTTTTATTTATTATTTTTTATCTTATGTGTGTAAGTGTACCGCCTGCATGCATGTGTGACCTGTGTTGTGCAGTGCCGACCGAGGTCAGAAGAGTGTCGGATCCCCTGGAACTGGAGTTATAGATAATTGTTACTCACCCGAGTCTCTGCAAGAGCAGCCAGTGCTATTAACTGCTGAGCCATCTCTCTAGCCCCTTTGCTTGGTTTTTGAGACACAGCTTCACCATGTTGTCCTGGCTAGCCTGGAACTCACTATGTAGACCAGCCTGATCTTGAAATGGGCAATCTGCCTGCCTCTGCCTCCC